ATAAACCGAGAAGTCGTTCATGAAGACTTCCATGATCTCTCCAACCAGTCGGTCGAAGATCGCCAGCATACATCTTTGGAAGGTCGTCGGTACATTACATAACCCGAACGGAATCCTTCGGTAAGCAAAAGTACCAAAGGGGCAAGTGAATGTGGTCTTCGCCTGATCCTCCGGTGCAATGGGTATCTGGAAGTAGCCATACATGCCATCCAGGAAGCAGTAGAACTCATGGCCAGCCAACCTCTCCAGCATATGATCAATGAAAGGTAGGGGAAAATGGTCCTCCCTGGTGGCATTGTTCAGGCGCCGGTAATCGATGCAGACTCTCTAGCCGGTCATGGTCCGCATCGGTATCAACTCGTTCTTCTCATTTGGGAGCACAATCATCCCGCCTTTCTTTGGGACCACCTGAGTGGGGCTGACCCACTTGCTATGAGATATAGCAAAGATGATCTATGCATCCATCAGCTTCACAATCTCTGCCCGGACCACTACCTCCAAGTTAGGAGTCAATCTCCGTTGCGGCTGTCTGACTGGCTAAACCTCATCCTTCATCATAATTCTGCGGGAGCAGAAGGATGGGCTAATGCCTCTGATGTCGTTTATCTTCCACGCCATGGCCCGGGCATACTTCTGCAGTAGAGCCACCAGCCTGCTCTTCTGCTCAGGTGTCAGATCCGAGCTGATAATGACCGAGAGCTTATTCCCCTTCCACAGAAATGCATACTCCAGGTGATAGGGGAGGGGCTTAAGCTCCAGATCTGATGGCTCCTCCAATGATGTGGTGATCCGGGGCGAGATGGGGATCGACTTGAATGGTTTCTCTCGCCCCCCGATCGCAGCTTCATCTAGCTCCGCGAGCTGCTCCTTCAGCTGCAGCTCCTGCGATGCCTATTCCCCTAGCAAAAGACAACGCTCGAGGAAATCGTTAGTACCTTCACTCGTGATGGCAAGTGCGGTCTCAAAATCAGCAATAACATCGCAGTAGTCTAGATCATCATGGAGCTGGGGTGTTTCATATTATCAGAAATAGAGAAGGTGATTTGTTCAACCCCAGCCCTCAAAATTAACTTCCCATCATTCACATCAATAAGTGCCTTGGCGGTGGTGAGAAAATGTCTACCCAGTATTAAAGGCACATCCACATCCTCATTTATATCAAGAATCACAAAATCAACAGGATATGAGAATGACCCTACTGCGACTATCAAGTGCTCTGCAATGCCCCTAGGATGCACTATGGATCTATCAGCAAGTTGAATGCTCATCCCAGTATTACTGTGTTTGCCTAGGCCTAGATTTTTAAACAATTTATATGGCATGACGTTTATGCTAGCGCCTAAATCTGCCAAGGACTTTCCTACATGCAAGCTACCAATCATGCAAGGGATAGTAAAACTCCCTGGGTCTTTGCGCTTCTCTGGTAGCTTGTTCTGCAGGATGGCAGAACACTCCTCGTTGAGCATCACCGTCGACAGCTCCCCAAGCTTCCTCTTGTTGGTAGGAGATCCTTCATGAACTTAGCATACTTGGGCATCTTCGATAATGCCTCTACGAAGGGCATACTGATGTTTACCTGCTTCAGCATTGTCATGAACTTGGCAAACTCAGTCTCCAGTCGGTCTTTGTGCAACCGAGTAGGAAAGGGAAGTTGTGGTACATACTCCTTCACCACTGGTTGTGGCTTAGGAGTAGGCACCTCAACCTCCTTCTCCATTTCCTCTTCATTAGATGGAATTGCTGAAGCAGGTGTCTCTCTCTCCTGTCGCGTCTGGACAGGTGGGTCAGCAGTCACTTTGCTACTCCTGGTAGTAATGGCCTTGTAGTGCTCATTTGGGTCCTACGGATGAGGAATGGTCTGACCAGGTAAAGTACTAGGAGTCCTCTATGCTACAGCCTGTGCCACACTCCCGAGCTAGGGTCTGGATATCCCGCAGCACAGCCTGCGTGTTTCTCTGGCCAGCTTCTAGCTCCAAGAATTTACCTGAAGCTTTCTCCATGAACTGCTCGATGTTGCTGAACTTATTCGCACTGGAGGTGGCTAGAGAACCCACCAGATCTCGCAAATCGGCCATCGGATCACTCTATACTGGTGGCTGCAGGGGCTGCACCTGACTGCTGAAATGGCCGCATCTGTGACTGAGGAGGAACTGGCCCCTGTCTAAGCGGGTAAAGAGGTTGTTGCTGCTGAAATTTCCCTTGTCTGGGCTGGTAAGGAGGCCTCTAGAAGCCTGGCGGTCCTTGGGAGACTGGTGGTCTAGGATTGGTCCCACCCCAAGAGAAGTTGGGATGCTAGCGCCACCCCTCGTTGTAAGTGTTGTTGTAGGGGTCGAAACGTCTGGCATTGCCGATGAAGTCCACATGCTCCTGGGGAGTAGTCGACTCCCTCATCGCCTGACAGTCCTCCATAGTGTGATGGGAGCTTTCGCAACACTGGCAAGGCATTGCCTGCTGCTGCACTGTCCCTGAAACCAATCTAGAGCGATCAATAGCTGAGACCTGCTTAGATACCACCTGTACCAAATCAGATGACTGGGTGGCTACAACATGCACACCCCGCCCTGGTGCTCATCTCGATCTCCTCTCAGTTCACCAATCATATCCATGCTCTGCCATCTCTTCAAAGAGTTGATTCAGCTGTGGCGGTGTCTTGGTGAGCATATTCCCGCCGCAAAGCGAGTCAATCAGCTGCTTGTCTTCTGGGAAGAGGGCATGGTAAAAGGTGCCCACCTTGAAGGCGTCAGTAAAACCATGGTTTAGACACTTGAGGAAAAGACTGGTGTATCCCTCCCAAGCATCCCAAATGGTCTCATCTTCATCCTGGGCAAAGTGGGTGATTTGATTCTACAGGTCCGTCGTTTTCGATGGAGGATGATAGCGGGTGAGGAACTTGTCCGCCAGGTTGGCGAACGTGGTGATCGATCCGAGGGGCCTAGTGTCCATCCACTCCTTGGCCTGCCCCTCCAGAGTGAACGGGAAATATCTCAACTGGAAGGCATCAGCTGGGACCCCATTGATCTTGATCTCATCGATGAGCTCATGGAATAGCCGCAGATGCGATCTAGGGCACTCCCCCTCTTTTCCACGGAATACCACCGAGCCGCGCAGCATGGTGATGACAGAGGTGCTCACCTCAAAGTTATTGGCTGGAACTTGAGGGTGCTGGATGGGCGACCTCATGTCTGCGGCTCTAGCGGTCCAGTAATACCCCCATGGTGTGCTCATCGGGGACGATCACATCATTGTCTTGAGGCTCACCCATGTCTTCCTCCTGATTGATTTGCAGCTGTGCTAGAGCCTCCTCCGCAGCCAGTCGCGCCTTCAAAGCCTGCTTGAAGTTCCTACAACTCCGTTCAAACTCTTGGTCTAATGGCAGCAAGTCACCTGACTGGCTACGGGTCATGCACTACATGCATACAAAATGCAAACACACCCCGTGAAGGCACAAAGGTGAAGAGAGACAATGCAGTAAAGAATAAAGCTAGAGTAACAAACTTTCAAGTTTCCACAATAACCTAGAGGGTCCCCGGCAATGGCGCCAAAAAACTTGATACGCTAAAACACAACACCAAACTGCCACCAAGTGTAATCGCAGTCCGGAAATGCAGAATAGTGGCAAGTTCTATTTATCTAGCAAACTAAGTCGAGCGATTGTGATTTTAAGCAAAAGCAGTAAGAAAGCAAGAAATGGTTCGAAGTTCTTAAGCAAGGGAAGAGTCACTCGGGAATGAGTCCCCTAGCTCCTTAGTTAGGTCAAAGTTGTAATTACTTTTGGTTGATTTACTGTTGATTAAACTGCGGAAAATCCGACAGTAGCTTGGAATCTCTTAAGCTGACCAAGCCCTCTCAGGAAGACTAACCGGCAGGCAACTAGCCTTCACCGGGATAGACTGTTGAGGCTATAAACGCAAAACTCCAGCACTGGAATTGGATTCCAATAAAAATCAGTAAATCGATTCTCTCTCGTATAACCAATCTACTATTACCGATTGATGAAGCTCTAACAACCTAATGAGATTCTATCTATCTCAGGTTGCAGCAGAAATCAAGAAAAGATGATCAGACTTCAATTGACTCAATGAATCATGCATCAATCGATTAAAATCAATCAGTATATCAATCTAAAGTCATTACAATCAAGATTCCTAACACATGGAACTAGAGTTCTTCATACCCAAGTGAGAGAAGGTTCTACTCCATAGAGAGAGAGAGAGAGAGAGAGAGAGAGAGAGAGAGGAAAACAGAAATCAGAGTAGTCATACTCATAAAGATGGGGATAATCTGCTCTAGGATGTCGATCTTCACTCCTGGGGATGCAATTTGGGCTTCAATGGTGAGAAATCCACTCCAAATAGCTCCTAGGGTTTGTTCTTCGCACTTTCTCTCTCTAAAACTCTGTTTTCTGCTCAAAAACTCCCTTCCCTTTCCTTTGGCTTGAATCTGCCTCAAAAACTCATTTCTGGGCAAAATACGGTCGAGGACACGACCATGTTTTACTTTTGCCCGTCCATGTTCTCGCCAAGTGTTGAAAAGACGCCGGCGTCGGCCTAAAACACGTTCGTGCCCAATAATTGACACGGTCGTATTTTACTCCAATGGTGCCCGTGTTTTGGACTTCTCAGCAGCCTCCAAGAACACTCTCTCGACATAAAAAGCACGGTCTGAGACACGATTCAACTCTCGCACTAAAAAACATTGGCATGCTCATTTGTGTACACGGTCTTGTTCTTCAAGCCTCCTGCCCGTGTTTTGACCCCATCTCGATCGAAAGACCTCTAAAAGCCCCGAAACTCGTGCCTAGCCTTCCCTTCGACGTTTGGGACCTGAAATGTAACCAAAGTAGCACAATCCAGCGTATAATAGGCCAAAAATACACGACTACGAGCCGCAAATGGATAAGAACTAAGGGTGAAAACATGTGCAAATACATCGTTATCAACCACCAAAAGACAGGCCATCCAAGAAAAGGAGAAAAAAAAAACAGAAAGGACAAAACCAAGAGTTCGCCTTCAAAGTCGTATTTGCAAACGGTGGAGAATCATCAATCCGACATTTAGAGCCCAGCTCTTCATATTAAATGACACCTTTAGCTGGTTTCAACACGGCGCCACTAACCCCCCTCCGTCGTCCACAGTCTCCAAAGTGGGAGATAGTCGCACGGGTTCCCCTGCCACAGCGAAAAACTGTGAGGCGATCATCGATTACAAAAAGCATGGAGGAGAAGGACGAACAACTGGGGGAACTGAGGACTCAATTGATATCGAAGACCTTAGATCTATAATCGGCTAAGAGGGATATGTAGAAGTACCATAGTTGGTACTTCAATTTCAAGTACCGATACCACGATGCGATCTCAGCTTTCGAGTCGCAGACGAAGGGCAGGCAAAGACGGATGAAAGTTGCGAGGTCGACGTTCGTGTCCCTGCCTCCAGCGACACTGCCGATCGGTTCCGTGAGATGTTGGGTGCCGTCGTTTAAGGAGGAGGTGGTGGGTGGTTCTAGCGGCAGACGGAACAGAGAGATTACACAAGCCGGCGGATAAGCAATCTGTGGATTGGAAAATCTAATTGTAATGTACAAACAGTATGAGCGACTCCTAATTCGCATGGGAGAACCTTGCTTTAAAACCAACGATCTCTTCCCTTAGAAATTCTGACGACATTTTCAGTGGCCACTGGCCAGGCATAAGCTGTACAACCGTTTTCCCATCTGCGTGTGTTTATTTTTTTAATTCCCATTAATCGTTGTAATCCCCTGTTTTAATTTCAATGGCTAAGATTTATGAGGGAAAAACAAGTCACCTAACTTAAAAAAATACGCAGGAGGTCCCTACCATAAGAAATGAATTATCCTTTAAATTCTAACAATATGAAGTTTTATTTTGGGTAATGACTATTTATTAGTCAAATCTTTTCTCAGAATTTTTTTATTAGTCAAATTTATTGTAATACTATTAATTAGTCAAACATTAACTCTTCATTACCTTTTTTGGTTTGATCATGGTGAGCTGTAAGACGTGACACTAAAATGGAAGGAATACTCTAACATGACGGAAAAAATATACCGATTTTGCCATTATCTATAAAAAAAGACACTGAAAACATCCCACATCAACATGTCAACCAATGATCACTTTGATCAATATTTTATAAAATGAAAAAATGACAAAAACTATTCTTCTTACCCTCGTCACTCCCACCCACCCATTTCCTGCTCTTCTCCTCTTTATTCATGCCCCGCCACTCGCCACAACGGCGGATCTTGAAGGGAAAAGATAGATCCATGCGCGAAGGAGAAATCAGATCTAGGAAAGGAAGAAGGTAATCCTACGTCGGCCTCAAAATTCATCGGCGGCTGCTACGATTCCGGGGAGGATTGGACGTTCAACGAGTCTAATTCCACGAGTCAGCAACAGAAAGTAGGGAATGCAGTGGGAAGGAGCCAAGCGAGGAAGAAGAAGAGGAGGAGGACAAAGGGGACACGAAACACGAACCAGACGCGAATTTCGAATCGGATCTAGTTCACTCCTGCCCGTCCGTTGAGGAGCGGATTTGCTCCTACGATGTCAAATCGGAGGAAGCGGAGGAAATTTCGCCTAGCGAGATGAAACCGAGATCGATTCAGACCTCGCTCATCGGTGAGTTCAACGAATTGGGCGAGTCGGTGGGGGAGTCGAAGCGGGAGGAGAAAGAGAAGGAGAAACGTAATAGTGACGTGCAGAGCTCGCAGAGCCTGACGCTAAGGAAGAATAAATGGCGGCATAGTTCCTCGAGTCGTCGCCGTGAGTCCGTGACCAGCATCGACGAAGAGCCTGAGGGTGGCGATGAGGTATCTCCCACCAGGAAGCGAAAGGGGGTGGGTCGAGTGAGCTAGAAGAATGACAGAGTGGCGGAAACCTAAAAAATAAATTAATTTTTTTGGATTTCTGAGGTGGATGTGGCATTGGATGTTGAGTTGGAGCTCTGTTAGAAAATAATTAACGGTAACATAAGTACATAACTATAGCTAATATCTTGGTGAAACACAAAATGTTTGGCTAATTATTAGTATATTTTAATATGCGTGACTAGTAAAAAATAATTCGAAAAAGGTTTGACTAATAAATAGTCATTACCTTTCATTTTTATTAGCATGATTAGGAATAATATATTTAAGACAAAGATGATGAGACAATTTGGCCGACTATGTGTTTAATGGCCAAGACATATAACATAATTTGTTGTTGAGTGGGGTTTTTATTCATGGGGCAGATAGTAATAGACAGGAGGTTACAATTGGTTGAAAAGTAAAATGCAGCAGTCGATACTAACCGAACTGCTGATGAAAGAGCATTTTTTGCCACGAAATGGGCAGCTATGTTAGTTCCTAAGAATAGAATGACAAAAACACTAAATCCTAAAAAAGGATATAAGTTTCCGCAACTACACCATGACGCCTTAAAGTTCTCCATGCTTCCACCTAGGATCAGAGTTTCCTACTCGTGCTAAAAGTTACGGCCCGCAACACCAACCTAAAGTGCAATCTACCCTGAAAAACAACAAACACAAAAATAGACCCGGCCCAATAGGCCCATGAGAGTGGCCCAAGTGCCACGAGTGACACCACATCAGCAGCTGGAAAAGGAAAAATGAAGCCAGCTCCTCTGTTTGATTTGGTAGTGGTACTTCAGTTTTCTCAACTTTTGCCTGCGAGGCTGACAGTGCTCACTGACAGAATCGATGAATACTTTTCATGAATGGTGAATCTTTCTTGTTCTCTTTTAATTTCAAAATTTAAAGGGCTTCCAATATTTTCCAGACGAAAACAATAGTATAGCATATCGATCCGTGTGAATTTAGATGATCGGCCACAATTTCAATAACAAAAAAGAATAAAACAATGGAAAATTGACTACTAAAATTTTGTTTTCAACAGAAACAAAGTGGGAGCTCAATTCAATATTAGGAAGCATACAATTAATGGAATTGCTGCATAGTTTGTACCGCCGAGGTCCTAGTACTATAGACGTAAGTCACCGAAATTGCTAGTTGGCAAGCAACAACACTAGAAGACAAAAGAGGAGAATTTAAAAATAATTTTTTAATTAAAAAATGATGTTTTTTCTATTGGAACTTGAGTTTAATAAATTATGAATTAAGGCGAATTTGGTATATTATGAATTTGAAATAAAATTATAAATTTTTTGTTGGATTTTATGATAATTTTTTGTATGCAATGTTAGAAATCAAAACAAAGTAAACAGGGTTATCAAAATCTGGTTGCGTCGCGAACTAGTTCGCTCTCTATAAGACGTTTGTGAAACCCACAAAATAAAACATACATTATTTTACAATTGGCACTCCTCAAATATTTTATTATTCACAAGACATGTATTCTCCTCAAATTTTCTCATCAAATATTTTATTATTTTAAATTAATAGAGTTTTTGTCTTGAATAGGAGGGAGGATATGATTCAGTAATTTTGACAGCTTGATCTCCTTCCAATATAATTGTCCCTAACCTCGACGGAGAAAATACGACTAAGTTGTATGCCTTTATCTGAAAGAGTTTTAATGTGTAAGTTAAGCTTTTGCTGGCGCCAATTAGCGGTGCAACAGATACAAAAGGAAGAAATAATAATGCAGATTGCAGAGGTGACCATTCCAAAATCCAAAGTCGACCTTCATTAAAACAAAAAGAAAAGACAAACTCCATTGTTTAAAGCAACGAAGGTCATGATTTCAATCTCATAATATAAAACTAAGACACAAGAGAAGCACGATTTTCTTAGTGGAAGTACAAATGCTTGGAACTTGTAGCAAACGACATGTATAATCTTGGTAGCTAATCCAATACAATCCGTCAAAATTTAGAACAATAATAATAATAATCCTAATAGAGTGGAGATTGGAGAGTACCTAACCCCTCAACAACCTAGAATATATCAAATTGGAGCTATAAAAACGATCAAGAATTAAAAAGCCATACCAAATGTTGTACTTGGAAAGTCAATAATAGGATATTTTATATTGAAATCGTAATTAAACCATTCATATCATTAAGTATCGGCTACCAATTTTGCTTTCGATATGAAGATTTTCTTATTAAACCGCCAGTACGATAATAAAGGAGCATACGATTGGAGCATGGACCCATAAAAAAAAAAGTTATCACCCATTAATGCGCCAAGGAGAGTACCGCCTCGGCCCTGTCATTAGTGATGGCAATGGGGCGGGTACCTCAATTCCCATGTCCCGCCCCACACTACTACGGGGCGGGGCGGGTAAAACCCGCACGGATACGGAGTGGGGCGGGTCGACCCACTCTTACATGTTATTCGAAAAAAATACACGTAAATTTTACTTTTTATGATAAAACGAAGGGTAAAACACTTTAAGAATGAAAAATAGTGATAATAGAATGTGTAATTGAGTCTAACAAGTTGAAAGAGCGACTCTAACTAGTTGAAGAAAAGTCAAAATAGGAGAAATATGTATAGGATTTGTAAGAAATTGAGATAAAAATGAGTCTAGAACGGGGTAGGACGGGTCGGAAGTAGATACCCATGCCATGCCCCACGCTACTGCAGGTCGGGTAATACCCACCCCATCGCGGGTCAGGTGCGGGTTGAAATTGCCATCACTACCTGTCATAACAGTCGTTGAAAAATTGAGACACTTGCACGGTTGCACCGCACACCTGGGAACCGAACGTGGTTGGGCAAATCGCAAATGTAATGAAAATTTTGGAACACAAACAACGAAACTCCATTAGTTCTAGGGTTGCCTTCTATAGTTCACGTAGAGACAAATTCAACGTAAGATAAAAGTACGTAAAAGATCCATAGTTCACAAGAAACAATGCAACTTTAATTGAAATGGCGCATTTTGAAGTGTGATGAAAGAGGTTAGTGAGAACTTTAAAACTAAATGTGTTTACTGTGGAGCAAAACGGACAATATTTTGATCAAGAAAAAATTGTTGAAAGGTTACAAAAACTATTTTATTTCACTAAGAGCATCCACATTGGTATTGCAAAATGACATGTCATAGGTGTATGTAATTGCAAAACCAATTGCATTGATATGACTATTAATTGCATATTTGCAAGCTTGCAACAAATGCAATTCCATACGTAGGTAAAAAAGCCTAAAAAATGGGGATTTTGTATTTTATATTATTTTCTTTTCTCTTTTACTTAATTTTCTATAATTTAAACATAATATTTAATTATATTTGCAATTGCAAGTTAATTGCATTGATGTAGGTTAATGAAATGAATGTGATGTGGATTGCAAAAAATTTGGGTTGACAATAAAAAACACAAATACAATTACTTTTGCAATTGCATTGATCGAGATGCTCTAACCAAAACATCTTTTTTTTGGGGTTGACAATAAAAGAAGAGATGATGTTAGTCAATCGTCGAATGATCAATACGAGACTATTCTGTTACGATTTATGAACAATCATATTGTACCTACACATAGTATAATAATAAAACACATTCTTTTATTTTTCGACTTTGACATTTCATATGCAACTTTAGCTGCATGGAAAATGGGGTAAAATTGCTAGGGGTGGGATTCGGTTTGTCGGTAAACGGTTTACCGTTTTACCGAACCGTTTACCGACGGTATCGGCGACCGAGCGTGGGTTGGGGGGTATCGGTTTACCGAAACCGGTATCGGTAAATCGGTAAACCGTTTACCGAACCCAAAACGACGTCTTTTAAGTCATCACCAAATCTATACCCTAATTTCTAAACAACGATGATGCTTGATGAGAGTTGATGTTGATTCATGAATAATGATTGTTGACCATTTGAACTTATGTTAAATTAAATAGATTAATAAATAATAGATAGCAACTTAGTGTTTGAACTCAAATATTAAGTTATAACTTATGGCATTAACATATAACATATACTTCATTATTCACAAATATTACATACAAATGATACATGAATGTAAGTAAGTATAGGCCTAAAAAATGTTATAAATTATTAATTACAAAAATGAAGAAAAAAAACTATGAAAAATCAAAATATTACAACATCTTCCCCACTAACAGAAATTCGGTTTCGGTAAATGTTCGGTAAACCGAACCGAAAACCCGCCCCCACGTCGCCGTTGCGGTAATTCGGTAAACTGGTTTGTAACCGTTTACCGGTAATTCGGTAATCGGTATCGGTAAACGGTAAACGGTTTTGACAGTGTCGGTATACCGAAACCGGTAAATTCGGTAAACAATTTACCGTTTACCGACCGATTCCCACCCCTAAAAATTGCCTATCATGAAAATGAAGACGACCAAGAAACCGGATCGGGGCAAAGAAATATCAAACCAAATCAAACCTAACCAAAACCAAGAATATTTTGGTTTTGTGTTATGACTTCTGCTCGACAGTCCCAGAAGAAGTCTCTTTCTCTCTGGTTTTGGTGGGTGTACGGTCCAAATAATCAGTCCAACTCACTTCCTTCCCTTTTTCGCCTCTCTTCCCACTTCCTCCCCAACCAGACTCTTCGATTCTCCTTCATCGCTGCAGATTCATTCAGCTCAACTTCTCTTTCTCTGCAACGCCTCCAACTTCTTCCCCACCCAAAACCTCAACTCTCTTTCCGACAAAAAAAATTTCAACTTTCCTAGCGCCATTCTTTCCATTAATATGCTCCCGCTACTTTTTTCGCCATATATCATTATATTTAGAAGGTCTCTTCCGTCCTAAGTATCCTGAAATCTTCTACTCTAAGCATTTCCTCTTGTTCGTCTTCTTCGGACTTTGGAAGTGGGAGATTGATTGGATCTTCGGACTTTTAGCAAAGGTAACGCGTTTCTTGGTGGGTTGGGTTCTCCTTCCTATTTATTGCTTCTGAAACGGTTTCCATTGATCCATCACCATTGAATCATTTGAACCCTTTGTTGTTGACTGGGGCATGAAATTGTGCCACTAAAGGTGGGATCTTTGTGAAGACTGCGAGTTTGGATTCAGCTGGACATTCTTTCTGGGTTTGATTCAAAGTTCTCAGCTTTGGATTCTGTTTCATCTATCTAATAAAGGGGCGCCTCCGTCTTTGTAAGTCAGCCTTTGTGCGCCTCTATAGTCCTCTGCTGTTGTTAGCAGTTTTGTCCACCTGATTTAGGGGTTACAAGGGGATTGATGTCCATGAAAAACCCATTAAAGGGGATGCGAAAGCATGCCAGTTCTCACTCTGGAAGGGTGTTTAGTGATAGGAAATGGACTATCCCTTTTTTCGCGAGCTTGCTCGTCTCTCTAACTCTCTTCTTATGGGCTATTTTTGGGCTTTTCTCGTCCCCTAATGGCGGAGATGAGTTTCCATTTGAGGTCATTTCGATTTCGAGATCAGAGGGTTCAAGTGACTACTTTGTAGAATCAGAACTGAAGTTGAGAATGAATGCAAGTATGGGTTCAAAGTTGGATGCCCCTAGGTTGGCTTATCTCATTTCTGGGACAAAAGGCGATAGTCATAGAATGATGAGGACTTTGCAAGCTGTGTATCATCCACGGAACCAGTACATCTTGCATTTGGACCTTGAGGCCCCGCCTCGTGAAAGGCTAGAATTGGGTGCATCTGTGAAGAGTGATCCGACATTTGCTGAAGTTGGGAATGTGCGTGTGATGGTGCAATCCAATTTGGTGACCTATAGAGGGGCTACTATGGTTGCTTCCACATTGCAAGCTATTGCCATTATGTTGAAGGAAAGCTTGGAATGGGATTGGTTCATCAATCTTAGTGCTTCTGATTACCCACTTGTGACACAAGATGGTTAGTAACACGACAGTCTGCTTCTCTCTTTTGGATCCTGTTCCCAAAACTTGATTCATTCTTGGCGTAAGTTCTGTGTCATGGTTATATTAGCATATTGGTGTCAGTGTTTTGGCCCTTTGATTCTGCTATCTTTTGTTCCTGGCTTATGCTGTTCCAACATAGGATACATGTTTACTCAGTGACGATTATGTGTAATCAGGGCAGAACATGTTGTGCTTGAGTAGCCGATAATGACTACATTGAGCTTTAGTAGAGTGATGTATCCCCCTTAAAGTTTGTTTCTTGCATTATCGACTCAGTGTTGTGTTACCATTGGAGGAATGCTGTGCTCAGGATAAAATTTCTTATGACTGTTTCTTCTGTTTGGTGACTTGGTGTGGATTAACAAACCCATTGACTTGTGAGGCAAAGTAGATTGAAAGTGTAGAAGAGATTTCAAAATTATGGTGGTAACTCATTGATTAATAATTTTCTCCAGATTTGCTATACGTGTTTTCCAACATCTCACGGAATCTCAATTTCATTGAGCACATGCAGCTGACTGGCTGGAAGCTGTAAGTTGAGATCTTTTTACCACCCAACTTGTAAATGTTCTTCTGTTGCAATAATTGAGAAGGGAGAATCAACCATTGTTCCTGATTTTTTTTACAGGAACCAAAGGGGGAAATCGATAATTGTTGACCCAGGATTGTACTTGTCAAAGAAATCTAACATCGCTATGACTACTCAACGGCGGTCCCTTCCTACATCCTTCAAGTTATTTTCAGGTTTTTCAATCACTCCGTTAACTCGCATTGTATCTTCTTTGCATCACTGCTATAGTTCATGTTACATTTGTAATCAACCAATTATTTATCTGAATTATTATCCTCAACCCTTGATATAAGTGTGTAACAGGGAGAGTCATACCTCTTTCATGCCTTTCAGGCATATATTTCTAATATCTTCCTTTAGGGAACAGTGCACTTCTACCTAACTGATATGCATCTTCAGTTCTGCTGTTTTGCACATAGGGAGTAATGAAGTCAAATTCTCGAGTCAACTCCTAAATCGTACCAGCTTACAAGGATACTCACCAAAGTATATCTTACCTGAATCTATATTATTTTCTCCATTTCTAGCCCTGTTCGATGATTGGGCATCTTAGGGGTCTTGCAGAATAGATATTGAATATGGATAATGTTGTGATCTTGTTATTATAAAACTTATATTTGGCCAAGTTGTTAAGAGTGTGATTAGTAACTATAAATCTTTTATGTGATCCTTAAAATGTTAAGATTCAACCCTTCAAGTTTACTTTCCAATTTTACAGTTCTATGTAAAACATGTTGGATGTTTACAAATTATAAGGTGCTGAATACTTTGGAGATAGCACAATACCAAAGTTGACTTATGAGATTGAGAAACATGAAACATATTGCCAACAACTTAGAGAATAGGATTTTGATTATTTTTTTGGAACAGCTGAACTTTTTATAGATTTGTTGCTTTGTGACCAGTTAATGCTGATCTCTGCAAGATGAAAAATATAGTAATATACCCATTTTCCAGGATCCACCATATCACATGATTCTGTGATTCAATTCTACTCTTTTTGTTCCACTCTGCTTTTGAATTCCATGAACAATCTATAGTTTGACTAAGTTTCTTAGGAGACCGCGAATACAAACAGTAATGCTATAACCTTCAGGTCTCAACTCTGGAGTAGATAAAAATGTTTCATGTTCAGTCAGCTGTCCTGCATCTTTACTTTTCATGATCTCTAACTTCTGGAGGCACAAGTTCTTTTAGATAATTATTGCGGGGCAAGTTTCCCTTTTGCTTCTGATCCAAGTCTTATATCCTGCCTTAAACATGCCAAAATCCCTACATGTTTGTCTTTAGAATCACTCCATCTTGTTATGTTAGGTCTATTGTCTCGTATATCCATATGAATTAGGAAGTGACACATTGCCTAGTCATTTATCCTTTTGAAACTTTCATCATTTTGAAATGCTGAATTCCTCTTTTGATTTGGATTCTTCTTTCAAACAGGTTCAGCGTGGGTAGTTCTCACGAGATCCTTCGTCGAATACTGCATAATGGGTTGGGAGAATCTCCCACGAACCATGCTCATGTACTATACCAACTTCATCTCCTCTCCAGAAGGCTACTTCCACACCATCATATGCAACAATGAGGAATTCCGAACCACAGCCATAGGCCACGACCTTCACTACATTGCCTGGGATACCCCACCAAAGCAGCACCCTATATCCTTGACAATGAAAGACTTTGACAAGATGGTTAACAGCAGTGCTCCATTTGCCCGGAAATTTGCAAAGGATGATCCGGTTCTAGACAAGATTGACCAGGAGCTCTTGGGACGGACCCATCGATTCGCTCCAGGGGCCTGGTGTGTTGGTGAGACAGATAATGGGTCTGACCCGTGCTCTGTGCGTGGGGATCATTTGGTCTTTAGTCCTGGCCCTGGAGCGAAAAGATTGCAGGAACTGCTTCGGACATTGCTGTCAGAGGAGTTTCGGAAGCAACAGTGTCTGTGACAGGGTTAAAGCATTTTTAGCTCAAACTCCACAAAATGTAAATGGATGTACTGATATAGGTTATACGGTGGCGGATGTAGAGGCAGAGTGTTCAATTTTTCCCCTGATAGATCTCTGTCACGGCAACTCTACATCTGGGAAAAGAGGAAGAAAGGAAAAATTGTTGTCAAGTGGTCTGGTTTCCCACTTTCCAGTTACAATTCAGACTACATGTGCATGTTATAATCATGTTATAATCAGGCGGGTTCAGCTTAGATAGTGAGAAATTCACGCCCACCCATTATTCGTAATATTTGGGTTCGGATTTTATCTGTACTCATAAAAATTCTTAAGGTTTGGGTTTTACCGTACCCAATTAGGTTGGATTCGGACAGATATCCACGGTTACAGATATTTTTGCCATCCTTAACTCCATGGTTTCCAAAATATTTTTTAGAGTCCCTCCATCCACATGTCACGTGTCTTGGCTCTACTGGTCGGCAAGGTCCCAACTTGAGTTTGTGCTTAACATGGAAGTGATTGGGAGATTTCTTGTCTCCGATTGACCTCGTAAGTCCTTAATTATCCCGCCACTGATTATCTAGATTGCATGCTATGTTGCACCGATTTGAGATTCGTTGCTTGGGACAAGCAAACGATTGAGTGTGTGGGAGTTCGATTCGAGTTTAATTATACATGTTTACACAACCTTTTCTTGATCGTTTGGCTTGAGGTTTGTCGTTTTTTAGCTCGTTTTCATGCTAGGTTGTGCTTGGTTTAGTATATTTCAGATTCTTTAAAGTGAATATGGCGGAAGGAATGATTGTCATACCATTTCGAGCCAAAACTGAGACAAATTGAACAAAGTGCATAAGTCAGGACTCATGGCAAAAACTCACAACTAGATCGTGACTCACAAAAGAGGTCGTGAGATATGCAATATTCTAGGAGCCAAACCATAGTTTGCGAGCAGTTGTAGAAGTCATGGTTTATAACCATGACATCAACAAAGACCGCAACCTATGTAAATAAAACGGTGCGGTTTGGGTCGACGTCACGTTTTAGTGTATGATGTCACGACCATTTGGTATCAAAACCGTTAGAAATTGAACAAAGTACATAAGTCACGGTTCATAACAAAAAGTCACCGCTAGATCGTGACTCGCAAAAGAGATCGTGAGATATGCAAGATTCCAGGATCCAAACCATAGTTCACGGTTTACAACAGAGGCCGCAACCTGTATAAATGAAACGATGCACTTTAGGTCGACGTCACGGTCTATTGCCCGATGTCACGACCATGACATGTGATTGTGACTTGCACACTTCTGTGTATAAATTGTGGAGGACGAGTTTTAGGGAGAGAAAGCAGTAGCAACCTCCGAGAGAGAGAGTAACAAACAAGGAGCCCTAGATGGTGATTGAAGGCTTCAATTCTCAATTGGAGGCAAGATTTCCCACAAAGGAGTGAAGATTGGAGCTTTAGAAGATGAACCTCATCACAATGATGTTGATTTCCTTTCTTGAGTATGTGATTCTTTCTCTTTCTCTCACCATGAAGTATACCCATACTCACCTTGGTGTGTAGAACTCTAGCTATGTATGTTAGGATTTGGTTTTGAATGATTCGGATGCTTGATACACTCTTGATTATAAAGTGAATTGAGGTACTTTCATGAAATTGGTTGGGTATTGATAAAATTCTCCAATTTGATCTATTAACCTAAAGTAGAGAATATCCAATTAGGTTGATTAAAGCATATATTCAATTCTTCATAACGGGTAAATTGATTGAGCGTGATATTGCACTACTATGTCATATTGGATCGAGATCCTTTAGCGGGAGTCTAAATTGCATGCATTAGATGTTCTATTTTGCAGGATGTAAAAAATCTTCCTCCTGATAGTTCACCCTAAGTGAGTTTGGATAACTAAAATAGGGAGTTCAAGCGGGTTTAGGCTAGAGGAAAGCACACCTAAGTGACATTCTCTTAATAGAATTCGCACCAATCTTCACTTGGTTTTCTTGCTAGTTGATTAGTTCAAACCAAACCGTGACCTACTAGATAACAAATAGTTCACAAAGTAATAGTAGATTTCCCGCCCGTATTGATAATTATAATTACTTTCGCTATATTACACTCAATTAGTGGTTGCACTTGGCCTTCGGTTGGGATAGTAATTAGGAACGAGTCAATTGCCCTACAAATATATTAACACAACCCAAAAATAGTGAAATGAACCAACACATAAAACCCAATTTTGTCTTAGATTGATGGGTCCAATCATGGCGAGTTAGCAGTCAGTGATGATTAATGAGTTGTGTGAATTGATGATGGTTGATGATTGTGAATGTGAGAGAACTAGCTAGATGATGTTGATGGAAGAGAATTTGCTAATTTAGGGGGGTGGTGGGGATGGGATTTTGAGAATAAGTAAAACTGATCAAAGATTTGATCTTACTCTATTAACTCAGTTCAATTTGGTCCAAATTCAATATAAACGTTAAAATCGTAAAATCCTATAAAAATCGTAAGAATTTAAAGATTTAAATCATGAATAATGTAGGATTTTCATTTTAATAAATATTATAGTAAAATCATGATCGAAACAGGTAACTGATATCATACAAGTTTTTTATTTTATATAAGGGTGATATAGATTTCATTTTGTTGGGACCTCCAGATTCTAGGCTAGTGGTATTACCACTAGGCCAAACCCTTATTCGTATATCATAAAATTTTAAACTTTTATGATGAAGAATATCATAAAAGTTTAAAATTTTAGGATTTGAATCAAGATTTTCACTAACAATATAGCAAAGAACAAAGCGTTAGTGCGCAGTTTCTGGTTCTAGAAGACAGCTGCATAAGAATTGGACGAGAGTAAGCTCTTTTTTTTGTCATAGATATAAGGAGGCAGAAGTACATATATATAGAGACAACATAAATACGATAGTCACTGCTAAGTGAACTATCGGTTCAAGAGCCTTTTAAGCCACAATATGAGCAGCCCTGAACAACCTAAGCATAATAAACTGATAATACAAAGTAAACTAACAAATAAAGGAAGACAAGGAGACTCCCCTGTGATGTGAGTAGTTCGACCTGCAAAATGAATAAACCCATAAACTGCTAAAACAGTTGAATTATCACAACTATAGGTGTCAAAATAGAACCCGACCCGAGTAACCCGCCCGTTCAATCCGACCTGCAACCCGAATTGACTAAAAGTCAATGACTTGTAACCCGCTGGATCCGTAACCCGATTGACCCGCAACCTGCAACCCGACTGACCCGTAACCCGATTGAACCCGCACCCGACTAACCCGCAATCCGATTGACCCGAACCTGGCTAAACCAAACCCCGCCCGATTGACCCGAATAATTACGATATATAAATCATATTGTGTTTCAAAATGAAGTTTTTTATTCTAAACTTAGCCAAGAACAACTTTTTTCATTTGTCTAAGTGATTTTCAAAATCTAAAATTTATTTGAAATGATGTATTTTTTATACAATAAAAAAATTAAACTTGAAGTTCACTTGAACATTATGTTCATCTTGCAAATTATCTTTTTTTAGGGAGTTCATCTTACAAATTATCAATTACGCATAATATATTGAAAATTTGGACTTTTAGTCGGTTAAAGGATTGAGTTTGGCGTTCATCTTTTTCCAAAGAAGAAAGAACACGAAAAGATAAGTAGCTAGTGACTTTAGCTTCTGGTTCTGGATCTAGAAAAGTAACCTACGGACTGAGGGGGATTTGTTTGAGTTTTTGTAATATAAATATGGGGAAATGATGGGGGGAAGGCAAAACTTTTGGGATAAAAGGTGGGTGAAAATTTCCTCCGATTTGTAATGGTACGTTTGGAGCCAAAATGAAATTGGTATCCATTGTACTTGTGGTTAAAATGAGGGAAGGCAAACTTTTTTGTGAAAAAATGGCGGGAAATTTTTCTTTGTTGGTATAATTTTGGAGCCAAATGAAAGGATACGAAAATTTGAGATTTCCCTCTTAAAATTTACGAAACTGTTTTTCTGTTTAAGGTAAATCTAAATACATTGATTAAGTCTTTCAAAAAAAAAAAAATACATTGATTAAGAGAAAGGTTCAAAATAATGGAGATTATCATGTTGTAAAATATGTATGTTTTACTAAAGTTGTAATTACCTAGATGATTGTTCTATCTTTCTCTTTTTGATTCTATGGATCATTATAGGCAAGCACATAACTAAAATTAGTGTGTTAAAGGTGGAATCAAGCATAGGTGTTTTAGTTGAATCAAACATTTATATTGTTGTGAGTTAAATATTTATTTAAACGAAGCTCATTAACAAAGTTCAACATTGTTCAACAAACCAATTCATATACTAAACCCTAAAGTCTAAATGTTATCTAGTTAGTAACTCGTATTTGATTTGTGATATCTATATGATATGCGTGTTTAGCATGCATAAATTTAAGATATGATATACAAGTCATATATGCAATAGATATTTAGCAACATATAAAGAGTCTCAAACCACATTAATTCGTAAGATGTGGCCTATATTTGAAATTAGTGCAAGAAACAATGTGTAAGTTGTAACGAGTCAAGAGTAAGTAACACAATGCGCTCACCCGAACAACCCGCAACCCGATCCACCCACAACCCTCCCTGATCCGTAACCGATGAACTCGCGTAGGGCTTGTTTGGTGGTTTTGATTTGTGAGAAGAGAAAGAAGTGGAAAAGTTTGGTTCTTTTGACTATGAAAGAGAAATAAGGAGGAAAATTTTGAGTTTTCAAATTTTTGTGGAAAGAAGGAAGGAAGAAGGAAATTTGGTTCTTTCAGTTTATGGAAGAGAAAGAGGAGAGAAAATTGAGTGTTTCTAATTTATGGAAGGACAAAGAAAGAGGGAAATTTTAGTTTTTTTTTTTTTGTGAAAAGAAAGAAGGAAACAAATTTGGTGTTTTCAACTTTTGGGTTTTTCAAAATTTTAGCCTTTGAAATATGAATCTTTAATTTTTATACGAAGGGCATGACTAGTTAAATTTGTTCTTATATGCTTTCAAGGCTTATATATATTGTGTGTGTGTGTGTGTGTGTATGTAATTGTGTATAGGCTAATAAATAAATTAACCATTAGTTACAACAGTTCTAAGATTTTTATTAACATATTTTCACTCGAAGTCATTTGAAGTCTTTAACGGTAGGAGATCCCTTTTTAATTTATGTTTATGGTAAGTGGTTAGGGTACAAGGTATATGGCGTAGAGTATATGATATATTGTTAGGGTATAACAATTAGCAAATATCACTTTTTATCTATGTTTTGAAAATCAAAATATGAATTTCACTTTTAAATTAACTATACTAGCAAAATCACAACACATAAGGACATATGGTTAGAGTATAGGGTATGCGGTTAGTGTATAATGTATTGATGGTTTAGGGTATACAATCAACAACATATACTAAGTTAATATTGTCGATTGAGGATAAGGCTAAGTGTATAGGATATATATTATTGAGTAAGTTACGAATGAAGTCACAATAATTTTACTAAATTTGATAGTAAAATTTTACACTAATCGATTGAGGGTAAGGCTAAGTGTTTAGGGTATACAATCTTTAATGGTTCAATTTTTGGGATAATTGGAATAATTTTACAAATAACTCGTTTGGCAACAGTTTACTGAAGTTATTTGGGCAATGAGTTATTTTGAAATAACTCTTTTTATCACTTTGCTTTTGCAAAATACCACACGTCAAATACCAGATTTGCATGATTATCTAAACGAGATACTTTAATCCAATTACTATTGAAATAACACTAAAATATCAAATAAACAATTAATGGTGTCTTTTGGTTGAAAATGTTGATATCACCATTACTATTAGCTAGTGTACTTTACCAATTACGATTAATTACATAACAAATTTGCAAGTCATACAAATTGATTTAACATTTTGATTAGTTTTTTTCAAAAAAAGTAAGCATATATATACGAAGTAGAAATAAATTGGTTAATAGTTGAGAAAAATATTTTAAATTAGTGTAATAAAATGTGTAAGTTGGTAACGAGTAATGAATAAGTTACCCGATGTGCTGACCCGAACAACCCGAAACCGCCCGCAACCCGCCCGCAACCAAACCCGATGAACCCGCAACCCGATTGAACCCGAACCCGACTAACCCGCAATCCATTTGAACCTGAACCCGATGAACCCGAACCCGATAAACCCGCAACCCGACTAACCCGCAACCCGTTTGAACCCAAACCCGATTGAACCCAGCCCGAACCCGCCCGAACCCACCTGATTGGCACCTATAATCACAACTACGGAAAACAACTTTGCCAAAATTCTTGTTCATACAAAGGACCACCCGCTGCAAAAAGCAAATTGGACGCGTCACCTGCAAAAGCTCAATTTAGAGTATCATACCAAAACACTTAAACACAAAGAGGATATGCATCCACGCCGAAACACCAATGACGTAGTGGAACACTTGTCCATCAGCAGCACCCCATGATGCACCTGCAAAGTCGGCACACAAACAAACAAAAACCCCATACAAGCAAGGTCACGGAAGAATCCCAAACTCCTGTAAGTAGTTTCACCTGCAAAATGAAAAAACACAAACTGCAATAGCACAAACCGAAAGAACGTCTACAGGGAGTTTACAGAGTAGACATCCAAATAAAGAAAAATACAATAAACCCCAAAACAAAGCGAGGATGAAATAACAGGAAAGAATAGAGACAAGTCACAAACAAGATATAACACAACTACTATAGTCAACCAATAAGTTGATTCTCGATGTAAGCGCTTTTTGAGCTACTATATGGGCAATTTTGTTCAGTCTACGTGGGATAAACTTATAAGAAAAAGAATCTAGTAATAACCAAACCTCTTCTAACAGTGCTCCGCCAAGCATGTGCGAAGAAGTCCGGTCCACCACTCGACGAATAACCACCTGAGCATCCCCATAAACACTTACTGAAAATAAACCATGCAATAAACACCATTGCAAGGCCTCACGGAGTGCCATCAGTTCAACCACAAAGATATCCTCAATACCCACAATATAACGTCCAAATGAAAATTGGAGTTGCATCCCATCTGCAAAACCAACAAAACCCACAGTCGCACCAACACCCCGCCTGAAAACACCATCAAAATGGAGAAGTATACCACCTGGCATAGCTGGCTGTGGTAACAAGGAAGGCACTGGTCTTGGCGTAGGTTGAGAAGAACCAGATGTCGCTCCCAAAAGAAAAGGAATCGGGGCAGCAACCCACTCTTCTACCTGGTGACTGAATTGACGATAGAGTGAACGAACCTGAAATAAAAAAATTTCATGGACAACAAGGCACCTTAATTTCCATAACCGCCAGCACATGAAAACAACCCGAGCAACTTCCTGCAGAGACAAGTTTGAGAAGAAAAATAAATGCCTCCATGCTGGGACAAAATGTTCTCATGCAAATAACAAAGGAATTGTGTCCATGGCAGCCATGTGCCAAAGCTCCTTCGCCACCCTACAATCAAAAAACAAATGACAAGCAGTCTCCGGAGAAATACAACATACAAGACAAGGAGCTTCTGTGACCAAATGTCGATAACGAAGCTCATCCATCAAGGGAAGGAAATGACAAAGCATTCGCCAAATAAAAAATTTCAGTTTAGGTGGCATAGGTAATGCCCACAGATACTTCCAAAAACGAAAATCAAACGGAGCGGGAAGGGGAGAAGGATCATAGCTAGATTCTGCCAATGCTAGGCGATAACCAGATTTCACTGTATATTCTCCAGTAGGATCATAGTGCCAGATGGAGTTTGTCTTCAATTGGATGTCTGTGGTAGAGGAATTGAGAGAATAAGCTTAACAGTAGATACATCAAAGAGAACTTGCAACAAAGATAAGCACCATTCTCCTGTATCTTGACCAATCAAAGAAGAAACAAAAGGAGAAGCAGGATAACAACCAGGTAACAGCTTAGGACTAGAGGGAGGAGTGGTACTGGTAGGCAGCCAGTTATCATCACTAACAAGAATGGAACTCCCTGTACCTACCTGCCATCTCAGTCCTCGAATCAGCAAATCACGCCCTGCAAGTATTCCTTGCCACGCCCATGACGCCCGATAGCCAGCCCGGGCATGGAGAAGAGAAGTAGAAGGAAAATACTTGTCCTTATATCTCCGAGCAAGGAGAGAATCAGGCTGACGAAGCATCCTCCAAACTTGTTTAGCGAGCATGGCAACATTAAATTGCTCAAAATCCCGAAATCCTAGGCCACCGTCAAACTTGCTGTGACAAAGCGTCTTCCAGGACGTCCAATGAAAGCCATCATCATGGTCTTGATCAGCCCACCAAAACTTGGAAACATAGCCATTCAATCGCCTGCAAGTAGAGAGTGGCAAAAGAAAGCAAGAAAAAGCCTGCTTCCTCCTGCAAGTCGGTGTCAGCCACCTCTTCAAAGGGCCACTCAAGGCTCACCACACAACAAGCTGCAACAAAAAGAAGTAAAACAAAATTCATGCACAAATCATGACTGCTACCTCCTGAGAAGAGTAGGACGACCACCTTTTCAAGGACTAACTAAACATTGACAACAAGCAAAAATGAACAGTAAAATTTAGATACAAAAGGAGGTCTCTTCGACCAAAAAAGGGGGAGAGGGGTGACCAAAACTAAAGAGAGGAGAAAAGAAACAGAGAAGGATTGAGGTCGTAGAACAAAAAGAGAGTAGCAGCAGCAGCATCAAGCAGAAGCAAAGGCAGAATTCAAAGAACAAAGAAGTAGTAGAGATTCAACCGCAAAGGAAACCAGTCTTCACATAACAGGTTGGTTTTCTACCACCAAATACTATCCAAATCTGGTATATATATGAATAGGATGGACCATTAAACTTGGCATGAAATCTACAGAAGAAAGTGAAGCTTATTGATGTTCTTTATGCAGAGAAAGATATGATTAGAGTTGTGATTAAGTTTAGTTTTTCTACTACTTCTGCATATTTGCCATTTCAGTTAAGCTAATATACTGTTGCATACTTACTTTTTCATCAAAAGCAAGCAAAGTTGTTATTCCATCAGATCTGTGTTTCTTTTATGATGCGAAAGGTAGCTTATAGTTAGACATATATTAGAACTCCTAATAATAAAATCTCCATAAGCAAAGCTATAAGCAAAACCATATATGTTCCCATTACTTTTTGCCTTGCTTTTATTTCAGCTTTTAGATTATATGCTAAGTCTTATGTAAAAGCAACACCGAAAACCATTCCCAACCTTTACTCAAAACAATAAAACACGATCAATATAAAAATCATAAGTAGTATAATAAAGCAGTGAATCTCCAAACTTAGCAAGAGCTTAACTATTTCAATTAGTTACGAGCAGTGGCTGTAACTTTATGTTATGATAGTGAATAGCTTTTAGCTTATAATAATATCATTGTACTAGACAAAAATCAACAAAACTTCTGTTCTTTTTTAAAAACCATAAAGAAGCAAATAAACCTCAGAATCCATGTCAAAGCAAAGCACATCTCTAACTCAAGACTTGGATTCATCAACGGCAAAACACCCTAGCCTAACTAGATCGGCATAAGCTAATTAAAACAATAATAAGCAAAAAATGATCATGTAGATATCACCTAGGCTCCCCCATTTCGAAACCTGCATCAGAATAAAGCAAACCATCAGAAATGAGATGATGAATCTATAATGAAATCCATAGGGAAAAACGAGCCATCCCCAAACATTCAAAACAAAAACGGGTCAGAACCCTAAAGCGCACAAATAAACCAAGAACAAACAAAAATCTTACCCAGATCTCTTCGTTCTTTTTTTCGGGCTGTCCGAAAGCAAAACCACAAGAAACTCCACTCAACACGATCATATGCTTTTTTCATATCTAATTTAAGTGCCATCCAACGATCTTGACACCTCGATTTAAGCTTTAGAAAATGCAAAATTTCTTGCCCCAAGAGAATGTTATCAGTAATCAACCTCCCTTTGGTGAAGCCATTCTGCGAAGGATTGACAATCTCAGGTAAGCAATCACGGAGACGAAGGGTGAGGAGCTTCGCAATGAATTTATAAACTGTTTGACAAAGGCTAACCGGACACATCTGCCGCATTGTGTCAGCTGCCGGAATTTTAGGAATAAGAACTAACCAGGTATGGTTGAATTTTTGAAGAAGATGCCCGCTATCTGAAGAACTCCATGCTCGTCACGGAGGGATGAAATAGTATTTCGGCGACGCCGCTGTATAGTAGTAGAATGAAAGAACCTAGTGTTGGCTTCCCCTCCACGAAGCCAATGAATACGAGACTTTTGCTTTCAGTACAATTCTTCTTAACGATAAGCTTGTGAAAGATCCAGTTCTAGCTGACCAACCTGAGCCCAATCAATGGGACTAATAAGTTTTACTTGTTCAATAAATACCTTCAAATCATGAATGAGACGGGCAGAATTGGAAGTCCCTACAGAAGCCCAACCAACCAACTGGTGTCGAACTGCTTTAAGCTGCAAGAATAATTTGAATTGTCGAGATCCCTCCACTATCAAAGTCCAAAACTGAGAAACCAGAAGTTGAGCTTCCGGATTGACAGCCCAACGAGAGTCGAAGAAGAAAGGAAACTTTGGTCGAGGAAGCGGCTGTTCAAGTTGGAGCAATAGCATACGATGCTCAGAGGCTGTATCTGATAGATGCAAGACTTTGATTGTCGGCCAAGAAAGGACTGCTGACTCCGAACCCAAACAACGATCCAACCGTTCTAGTATGTGCGTGGAAGCTGAATGGTGGTTAGAGAAGAGCCTCAAACCCGAGATCCACTAGAGAAGAGCCTGCAATGAAATAACGAAGTTGATCAAGCGCTTGAGGGGACGACATATTCCTTCCTTTTTTTTCATGGGCAAAAGCAAGACAAGTGAAATTGCCAAACACCACACACGGTAAGGATGAAGAAGAAATAAGACGAGATATATCATTAAGTTAAATTGAGCGAACATTGAAGTCACAAGAGAGATAAACAAATATGTACAATGCAGTCCCAAGAATTGGGTGGACACATACAACAGAAATGAAGAAGTTAGAATCACCCTGCTTGAAACAAGAAACAACATCCGACCAAGCAACAACTAAACCGCCAGAACTGTTGTGAGATCCTACAGCTAAACTATCAACAAAGCCTAAGTCAGCAACACGCGAAGAAGCGGCATCCGCTGAACACTTGGTTTCACAAAGGAACAACAACATTAGGCCGACGACTACGAACCACACCTTTCAAAGTACGAAAAGTAAGTAAAGAACCAAAGCCACGACAGTTCCAACACAGAACACTCATGATAAATACTGGGAAGATGTGAGTTGTGACTATAGAGGGTCAGACTTAGCTAGATATCGAAGACTAGCAATAGAACTGAGGCAAAACCAGAAGAGGAAGCTACATCCCCAATTTGGAAGAGAGGCTTGAAAGCCCTCCTTATAGTCCAAGTGAGACAACCCAAACAACGTGGGTGTACAATCAAATCGCTGAAACTTGAAGTCTAATTGAGATTAGCTTCTATTCTTGGAGCAGCAGACCGAATGAAAATTGGCTACTTCGCTGGAGACTGTTGCCGAGAGAGCTTCATCGTCAACTAGCTGCCTGCTGCGGAGGAGAGGGGTTGGCTGCCAGAGGGGTGGAAGTCGACTTTCCTCCTCAGAACTGATAACAGGGAACAGAGGAGCAGATCCTCAGATGGAAGAGTCAGATATAGTGGAAACTGGCGGAAGGACCGAAGAGAGGGAGCTGTCGGAACTGTCCCTGGCGCCAGGATTCTTTTTAAATTTAGGGTTCAGGGAGAGACGATAGAAAGAGGGACTTGGTGAAGGCCGGAGGGGATGGATGGAGCAGAGAAGGAAGATGAGGAGTAATAGTCGGCGGCAACGACGAGAGTAAGCTTCAATCTCGAGTATCTTTCAATTATAAACAACTGCTAGTATAAACTATATGACAATTCTTTGCTGTTACTTGCTTGCTGGTCACAGTAAGTGGAATATAGGTGTTGCAACTTTAACGAAATGAATAACTTGACCACCAAGAGAGCAGATAACGTGATGCTGCAGATTATACAGTGCCCTGACCAATAAGCTTCAAGTAATTTTCAACTATCTTCTCCCGCGAGAAATCAGTGTAATACCCTTTCCCTACACCAACTCCTTCTTCCACACCAAGCCGCTCGACTTCTTGCTGAACTCTCTCCAACATTACTCGGTTCCAACAAGTTACAAGCAACCTCAATCACATTATCCTCATGAACAAGTGCCATTGCCTGCACAGAAGCCAGCCCGCCACCTCTCGAGAATACCCTTTTCGCGATTCTTCGAATGGCAGCCATGTCGGTAGAGAAAACAGGGACATTATAGTTATAAACCCACTTAGTCGCTCCAACGACAAGGACACCTTTTGTTTGATTCACTTCACAAGGTCCTTCGTCTGGTTTCAAAGGCAGTGTTCCTGATTCAGGACCTCCAACCCATTGGTTTCCAGAATTCGGCTTAAGTAGCCTAATTCCCTCCTGATTGAATCTAGCTTTCCTTTCCTTACTGGCAGCACCATATAGAAAAGTCGGTACTGCAGGCTAAACTTAGCATCATTAGCATTCAGCTAGTAGAAAAACCCAGAGCCCGTTTCTTTCTTCATACAAGAGTTTCCAAAATGTCAAAGCTCAAACCTTCACTCGAAAAAGAAGGTCAAACCTTTGAATTGAGAACCAACTTCGGCTGCCAAGGACTTAGCAACCCAAGCTGTCTGGCCCAGCGATGCCTGAGCAAGTGGATGGAAACAGATATGGTCCACAACACCAAGTCTAGGGTGAGACCCAGAATGATGCTCAAGGTCAATTGCTTGAAACGCAGCCTTAACCATGGCAAACACTGAACTCTTCAATGGACAATTATCTGCAGGTGACGGGTTTGGATCCAAACTTGCAGAATTGTGTATCCAACTCTATTGTAGGTCACATCTTCAAACTTGTTAATGATTTGTGCTTCAGGGAACAACTTTGCTGCTCTTTCAATCAACTCCAATGCTGCCTTGTTCTGCTCTCAGATATGTACAATTTGCAGCAAGCAAGCCCCTGCTTTAGCATTGTTTAACTTCCAGCCACCTTGCAAACTACTACAAGCTGAAACAAACAGATAATGTGAGTGAGATAAGATGTTCAAAAGATTCATGTGGCTGACATGCAACCACACAAAGCCTGAAAAAAGCAAAAATCAAAAGAATTCATGAATTATCATGTAGCTGTTAAAGGAGCCATACATTTTCCCTGTTTTGTTTGAGGCTCTGCAACCTAAGTTGCAAGACAACAAAACTGCTCCAGTTCATGGTTTTGTATGTGACTAGTAGAATTCCCCTACGAAGTAGTAAGATAGTGAAGATTAAATCTCATTCAGAGTTCCATGGTTAAGAAAGTGTAAGGAAATAGATAAACATTTGTACCAGCAAGCCTTTCTTGGATTCCATTCGAAATATAATCCCATAAGAAGAGACAGACAGCAAAGCAACCAGTTTACAATGCTGGAGATCCAGCGCACTACCTCACAGTAAAACATGGCTAATGAAGTAATTGAGGGGGGATGGAGCAACAGAGAAAAGGATCAGGATATCCCTAAGAGCGTACTACTTCAAAACTCCATTTCTCGAGGCTTTGGATATCCATCATACTCTAACTTCACACCCAGGCCAGCTCTTATGACCCGGAACTTCAGCCTAAGACTATCCATTATCACTTGAATGCTCTCATCTTCAGGATCCAAAAGCGGGTATCTATCGATCAGATCCTCCATTTGCTTGATAGAATTCTGGATTCGGGTTGAGAAATGTGCCGGAGCTACCTTCATTGCAGAATTCCAGAGAAAAATGCAACCACGATAGAATCCGAGTTCTTCTCCAATCTCAAAGCCCGATTTCAAGCCGACTTGTTTGGCATCTTCTTTGCCAGCAACTAAGCCATCTGTGTACCCTTCATCATAGCCTTCTTTATAGTGTGTCTCCTCTAGATTCAACGAGGAATCAAATATGTCTACAGATTGAGATTGTGACTCCATATGATCTGTGTTTCTTTCCCCCAAATGGTTTCTAGATGCACCAACCTCAAATTGCAGAACCTTCTCTTTGCCTGCCACGACTTACGATGGGAATCTAAAGATACAGAGAATCACAATATATAAGGTAATAAGCTCATAGTTCGACGAGTCAAACATAAATGTCTGACGATACGACGGAAAAATTCTTACTTCCTCACATTCATAGGCAATACATGTAACTATAGCAGATCAAATTAACAGTGGACAAGAATGAAGATAGCCTACATAGTTAAAGATTTCTATGAACTTAGTACATAGGTAAATGCATTATATGCTCAGATCAAGTTCCTTGGGCTCCAGGCATGAGGAAACGTAAACATATTCAGCCAAAAAGCCATGTGATCATCGCAATTACAATACGCAGTCTCTTAAAGTTTTTGGAAATATTTTGAACTAAAATCTCAACCCCGCAACCAGTACTTCGGCATGAATACATACACACATAAACGGACGCAGTTACCCAAGAATAGACGTTGGTACAATTGAATCCGCCATATCCAAAATCCAAACAGAAAGCAGCTGCTTCAGAATTCCCGTCACCTCCTAAATAGAGAGAAACGGTTCCTCATGGTCTTAACAGCTGAGAGACCAACGAAACTAAGTACAACCCACGAACTCAAATCCAGCATGCATAGCTCCCAACCCAGCAATTGAGTAAACGGAATAACTCAACACGCAGAGACGGAAAATGCATACAGCAGAGAAGTACCCAGTAGATTAACATCAAAGTCACCGCCACTTAGAGCAATCTACAACTCAGGCACTCAGATATTCTGTAGAAACCATATATACAATAAAATGCAGATAGATACAGGACAAAGGAAGGATAAATACCTGCCCACAGAAACAGCAGAAAAGTCGAGCAGTTTCTCCAGGGTAGCTGAAGCTGTGGATGCCGGAGGACGGTGTGACGTTCGGAACGGATGGGTATCTGGGTCTTACAGAGCTTTTGGTCCAGAGGTGAATCGCCGGTAAATAAAATTAAGAATCCGCAACGGCTGAATGCCGAGTCGGCGTTTTCCTCGCTGAATCCAGAAAAGTTGTTGTCACCGTGTCTCCTAGTTTCCTCCCAACCAGATCCCAAGCCGAGGAGAAGTAGAAGAAGAAGAAGGTGAGAAGCAAGGCAGGCGGCGGCGGATAGAGGGAATTCGATGTCGACAAGGTATCCTCTCAAATTCCGTTTAGTAACTATGCTTGTAAGGGTATTCTCAGATGTATTGTCGAATTTGATGTTTGGTATGTGTAATTATGTATGTTACATCAGTTAAAAAATTAAACAAAACAATCTCAATTTTATTATCTCAACAATTTCAACTAAAAACTGAGATATAACAATCACTTATTTTATGTGATAGTTTTTGTCACATCACAGAAACAATCCATATTACAAAAATTCATGTATTGTTTCTGCTAAAAAATAATAAAAAACGATGTATTCGAAACAGTACATGTATAGTAACAATCTCATAAAAACAATCGCAACTTCCACACGACCCCTAAATTTTGGTTTATTGGTGTATTGATTTGAAGTTTATCCCTAATATCCATGTTGATTGTCGACGACAAGATTGTCAAACTGGTTTATACGTCACACCAGTTAACAAGTGATATGATCCGATTAGAGTACTAGTGATATGGTCCGGTTAGAAGATATGTCTCCACTCATTGCTTCACTCGAACTCGCTAAGATAATTGAAGTGACTTATGATAATAAGAGTTCCCAAGAAGGGAAGAAAGAATGATGGAATGGAGAGATGATATATGAGTTTTTCGGTTTTAAAAGAATGAAATGAAGAGGAAAAAGATTGTTGTTTTATAGCCGAAAAGGGAGATAAGATAAGATAAGATAAGATAAAGATGTTGATGTGATAGATTTTGGATAATATTGAGGAGATTTTGGTTTGAAATTTTGGAAAGAAACAAAAGAAGTAGAGTAATATGTCGGTCGACATTACCCACAAAATGCCATAAGCATATCAAAATTACCAGGCCGCACTATTGGGATATTGAGTTATATGTTATATCCAATAGTTTTCTATTGGCTAATTACATGTTTGGTTACTCAAATTACATAAATATTTCACGTTTGTCATCTAAATCACTTTTCTTTATTATTCGCCACTAACTTTATGAATTGTTTCATCGTTAGTTACCGGTCGTTAGTCTCCGTCAGCCTCCATAACTTCGTCAATTTTTTATGACGTGGTAAACGGGACTGCTGACTAGATCGCTAACTTAATGACATGTCAATTTAAACAAACAAATCTGACATATGTCTCATCCTCCTCCTATCCAATCTTTCTGGCCATGGTTGCACAATCCGGTTCCACATTAAAGGCCCTAATCCAAACTTTGCCACCTCCTGAACTCCAACCATCATCGCCCTCACCTATGCTTCTTCAATCCCGCAAGTTCCCTTACTACCTCCTCACAAAACCTAATACGAACTTCCCATTCCAGTCCGTTACGACACCTCCTAAGTTAATTCCCTCCTCTCCAATCAATCCCACATCAGTATTGAGTTTGCAGACGTGGTCGGAGTGAAGAGGCCTAATGGTGGGTGGGGGGGGGGGGGTTGAAAGAATGTGAAGTATATGATTTTCTATATTTTTCTAATTGACATGTCATTAAGTTAACGGTTCAGTCAGCATTTTTGTTTTCCATGTCATCAAAAAATTAACGGAATTAACTGAGGTTGACAGAGATTGACGACCGGTGAGTAACGGTGAAACAATTCATAAAGTTAGTGATGAACAAGAAAGAAAAGTGATTCGGATTGCAAACGTGAAAGATTTATGTAATTTGAGTGACCAATCATGTAATGTAGTCATTTTCTATTGCTAGGTAATATGTCGTAAACATAACCCACATAAAATACCAGAAGCATATCTACCATATATATTGATCACTAAAAGGGATAAGGTTCGAAATCTGGCGTCAATAGGGCTTGAACCCGAACATTCCAGTTAAGGCCAAATAGCCGTACCATTTCGTTTGCATCCCCTTTTGGTATTCTTATCCTTAACGTATTGCATAATTTATGTTATTGTGCTAAATTACTACTCATAGTTAATCCTTTTTCCTAAATAAAAAAGGTAACGAACCAAACCAGAAACATGATGTTTATGTTTGTTATAAATTGATTGCTTGGCATGACCGCTTGGGCCATCCCGGATCACTTGTAATACAAAGTATAATCGGGGATTCATGTAAATTTTTGATGAGAATATAAGCAAAAATTCGACAATGAAGAATTTTTCTTGTGCTGCTTCTTTTCAGGAAAGTTGACATGAGATAAAAAATTAGCAAGCATGGAATAAAAAAAATTGTTTTTTTGTTTAACGCCCCCCTTGGTGAGTCCGAGGCTGCCGTCAGTGTCGGCACCGTCGGGTCTTCCCAGGCAATCATGCTCGCCGGCCTTGCCTTCAAGCGCAGGTGGCAAAACAAGCGCAGGGCACTTGGCCTCCCCCGTGACAAGCCCAACACGGCGCCAATGTTTAGGTACCCCAACCTTTATTGATACGTCTAATTAGAAACTTGTCAATTCTAATTTGTAAGTTGAGTGATTTTCGGTTGACTTAATTGTTCACTATGTTTCCCCAATTGCAGGTGTGCTGGGAGAAATTAGCGAGGTACTTCTAGGTGGAGCTGAAGGAAGTGAAGCTGACAGAAGGTTACTAAGTGCTGGACCCGGAGAAGGCGGTGGAGATGGTGGACGAGAACACCATCTGCGCCGCCGCTAACCTCGGGTCGATGCTCAACGGCGAGTTCGAGGACGTGAAGAAGCTGAACGACCTGCTGACAGAGAAAAATAGAGTGACCGGGTGGGACACGCCGATCCACGTCGACGCGGCCAGCAGCGGGTTCATCACCCCGTTCATGTGGCCGGAGCTGAATGGGACTATTGCCTCCTACTCGTGAAATCAAGTCAGCAGCCACAAGCACGACCTCGTCTACGCTGGTGTCGGGTGGGCGTTGGAGGAGAGGCGAGGGAGGTTGCCGGCAATGAAGGGGAAGGAGGATGGATTAGGGTTTCAGGGAAGAAGGGGTTTTGGGAAATGGTTTTCCCAATTGAGGTGGAAGGGAGGGGATAAATTGATTTTTTCCATTTATTATTATTATTATTATTAGAAAAATATGAATACATAAATAAAAAAGAAATATTATTCAATGCTCACTGATGTGGTAAATGAGTTGGCTATTGACTAACGGTCAACGGAGTTGACTGTCCAATTTAACGGTCAAACCCGACTTCGGGCCAAGTTAGAAAGTATGGTACATAGTTCAGGTCACGATAGCAATTTCGAAAACCACAAGCCAAAGTAGAAAGTTTGTCTATAGTTCAGTCCAAACTGAGGTATTGACCCTAAAATCTGTTACCTGGCCTTTTAACGTGGTAAAAAATACCAGACTACCCTTTCTTATTGAAGTTTATTTTTTTCAGCCAAAATATAAAGTAAAAAATAAATAAATTACTTAGTTTTCTCTATGATTCCTTTCTTATTATCCCTTCCATCTCGACATCGATGGCAACCCCAACTCCCCCTTTTGAATTCCTAATTCTTATGAATCAAAAAATTGCTTCGATTGCTTTGATTATTGTTCTTACTAGCATATACAAAACTCTCAATGCTTTTCTTGCTCCTCCCTTTATAAAACCTAAAATTTACAACAGGCGCTTCTTGGGTCTGCTCTGCCGCCTGACTGAAGGGGCGACATGCTTCAATTGGGTCATGGTTCGTGGCAGCCTAATAAGACAGAATCCAAAATTTTCCACATGGGCTTTGATTATATTCCTTGGAAATAAGGATGGAAGCTCCACCAGTGTAGTCGCCGACCAACGCAATTTTTTGGTGGTGACCTTCATTGCTGCTGCGAGGCACAATCGTTCATTGACCACACGCCTGATGAATTAAGGCTCAAAAGATCAAAGCTTTAGAGTGAGAAGACTAAATAGAGTAACTGGGGCGGGTGTCATTGAAGAAGATGATGATAGGAGGGTAGTTGGGTAAATAATGAAGATAAATAAATTGATGGAGAATTGGGGATTCTGCTAGATAGTCGAAGGAGGAAGGGACAGTAAAAATATATATAAAAAATTAATACCTTTTTATATTTTAGCTAGACAAAGAAAAGAAAGAAAACGAAATACTTAATAAGTGATGGGTAGTTAGGTCATTTCCCACTGTCTTAAACGGTAAGTTAACAGATTTTCATTCATATGGTTATGTTTGTTATGTTTCGATAGTATGAGGATACTAGTGTGGGCCCCGGCCAGTTGGTCGGAGGAAGGTAGGATGGCAATGGGTCGGGTTTTGTCAAATTCAAATTCAAATTCATGGGTTTATCCGTGAAAAAAGTTCGGGGTAAAATCCACTGGGTTTGAAAAACTCAAACCCAACTCAACCCCATGGGTATCCGCGGGTTCATGGGTACCCACAGGTTTTTGTCTTAAAAAATTTACAATAACAAGTTGCTATCAAAATTAAAGTCAAATATCAATCTCTCAATACAAATTATCCATATATAAAATACCATTCTAGAAAATTCAAGCAAATAACAAATTATCCATAAATAACATGATTAATTGAAAGCTTCTTCCTTTCAATTAATTTTCTTCACTCTCCACTCGATAACATCAACTTCATTCTACACAATTAGAAAGAAAAAATTAGACATGTCTCCACAAACATAAATAAGATAAGTTGTTTAGAATATTAAATATATCGAGAAAATTAATTATATGGGTGTGGGCGGGTACCCATGGGTCGGGTTTACCTAAACCCAAACCCAACCCGATGAATATTGAACGGGTTTAAACCCAAACCCGGCCCAAAACCCGTCAACACGGATTTTACCCGCGTTGACCGAGTTGGGTAGGGTGGGTACCCGTGGGTTCGGATTTTGTTTTCATCCCTAGAGGAAGGTGAGGTATGAAATTTGATAATGTAATGGGGTGTATAACTTATTGTTGTATAGTTTTTTTGGGAAACACGTGATAAAAATAGTGAATTTTAGCAGGAAAGAGACATTAATGATGCAACAAATCAAAAATCGGCCTTATGAACCAAAATCAAGTACCTGTTACCTTGTGAAACAATATTGTTTCTGGTAATATGATGAGGTGGAGTAAGTTTTATAGAAACTGAATTCCAGAAAATTGAATAAAAAATCGCCTATCCCGTCGGTTTTCGGGAAATGAGCATCTCACAATCGTTGCTAGCTTTTACTCGGCCCGTTGGCCGATTAATTTGGTTTATAAAACTTTCATCTTGTCGTCATTGTGCTTTCTGGTTTTTTTCAGGCTATGATAAAATCTAAGGAAATAAAGAACGAACAACACGATTTGGGATAGGAACCGTCGTTGTCGTATCCCTAGAAAATGGTGGTAAACACGGACTCACCTGCCAAACTGGTTTGGATTGAGATTTTTATCGGGTATCAGGGAACCATGTGATTATAAATTAGACTTGATCAAAAGGGGCCAAAACTTGAAATGCAGCCTGTTTGACCGACCCATGCCAAATTCTAATTATTCTTTACTTTTAAAATTTTTATTTGAAAATAAAAAATAGTGAAAAAAAAGAGATGACTGCCATTTGCACATCACTTATTCGGGAATAAAACCATAGAAATTCAAAAGGAACTGAAAATGTTAGGATCGTTTTAATGTTTAAAATAACCAAATAGATCTTTCTGTTTAGTTTTTTACTAACAAATACCAAACGATTCTCTATAAAATACACTATGATTTGATCATTATGATATCAAATAATTATATAATATATATTTGAAATGATAAAAATTGGACTAATTGGGTTGGTCGAGGTTGAACCATTGAATAACTTTAAAATACATTATATTTTAGCCACTAAGATATAAAATAATAGCATAATATATTATGCCAGAGAAAATAGCTTGTTTTAGAATGTCAAACCAATGATGTTCATTTGTTTTACTTGATGGCCAAATCCCGTGTAGGTCAAACCAATTCAACTCTTTTATTTTATGGTTAGCGGTTAGCCCATTAGATACCATGCATTAGTTTATTGTTAAATTTTTTATTTTTAGCAATAAAAAGAAGTATTGTTTTTGCCTCTTCATATATATTTTATCACCACGGAGAAATAAAAGGGCTTAATGAAAAAATTGACACTCTTGAACCCGTTTAAATCCGCATGTGTACGGTAAGTTGGCCCGTTCCACAGAGGAAAGAGGAAAAAATTGACACGCCCTATTCTATCATTCCTACAAACGCTCCTGGAGCAGGAAATTTGAAATGGGGGAAGGGATTTTTCCTCTCTGCTATTATATCTTTTTAATTTAAAAAGATGCAACAAATGTACTAAGTGTGATTGGTTATGATCTTTACTTTTCCTTAAAATGGTCATGGTTCGAATCCCACTACGTGTCTTGTTAATGAATTAAAAAAAGTAAGTGTGAAGACCAAAATGTCCTTCCTACTTTCACTCTCGTTGCAGGAAATTTGAAATGGGGCTCCCGTTTTTCCCTTCGGTGTATTATATTATGTGTAGATATTTGTGCAAAAAATAAAACGAGTGTACATTTGTTAATTTGCAGTATTTAAGGGGTATAAAATGTTATTAATCCTTATAATAAGTATTAGTAGGTGGGTGTTAGTACCCTATCTGGTCTTTTCAGATTCAGTGCTGCAATATAGGTGAAAAATTAGTCCATCTTGCTCCAAACTTTTTTTTTAAGAAATGACGCCGGGGGGGGGGGGGGGGGGGGGGGGAATAGTTAGAAAGCTCTACCTAAAACTCTCTCAAGCAGCACTTACTAAAGCCACCTTAGAAAGTCGAGGAAGATAATTCTACAGAGTATAACACAAGGGCTCTTTTTGCCAATCTATGGGCAGCCCGGTTGACAATCCGTCGAACCGCCATAAGAACTATACAACAAGAACACAAAATTAACAACTGAAGACAATCTCGAAGCAGGGGATCACCCACCGAATATTTAACACATCACTATCTAGCTAATTGGTGACCACTTCAAAATCTTCTACGAAAATGACACGAGGCAGATTCCAGCTTCTTGTGAGATGGCGCCCAGGCAACTAGCAGATCTACGAGATAATGGTCCATAACTCTTTTATGTTTGAGAGCCCAAGGTCAAGTTTACTAGCCTATCTGTCCCACGAACGACAAGGCCAGACGAGCAACCTGAATTACGAACAACAATATCAAAGTTAATCTACAATAAGTCTTTGGGTGGTCAATCCCAAACAACAGGAAAAGAGGCGTAAGACGGGGACGGGGTCCTGGGTAGGAAGGGAAGCTAAGGAAAGTTCACGACCTTGGAAAATGAATTGATGGTCAAGAGAACTGGCATGTGGTTGAGTATGTACAAATACCACTTTGATGTGAGATTTCCAAATTCTCCAAAGAAGACAAATGCATGGGAGAATGTGGGTTTGGAAGTTTATTGAAATCCTAATATGACGTTACCATATACTAAAATTCAAGGTTTGGGTGGATTAAAGCAAATCCCTTAGTCCCACTAAAGTCCAAAGATTAGCAATTGGGCAATGGAAGAACATATGTTCATTATTCTCTTGGCTATCCCAATAGGCAGGATAGCGAACAAGGCAATTAACCAGGGGCGGACCCACATTCCTCCAACTCTAAGGGTTGTCAATTGACAAAACCTTAGTCTTAAGTTTGGAATAAGAATCAGTGGAAAATTTTGGTTTAGTAATGGTAGTATTGGAACCCATACCGTTTGATAACCCTCAGAATTTCTAATTAAACTTTTCCTCTAAACTATAAACCAATGATTGTTGCAAAATTACAAAAATTAATAAGTTTATTACTAATTCCCCTTCAAAAAACTCAAGTAATTTTCAAAATACAATCACTTCATTAGTTCTCGAATTCCTTTATGGGAACCCTTATTTTATAAGGGCACATATGTTGATTTTGGTAGTAAGGTACTACTGAAGGAATTCGAACCTTAGACCTCCAAGTTCAAAACTAATGGTGTTACCCCTAGGCCAATCACTTGTTCGTTTATGGGGAAATTTGTGAATGACTATTTCATAAATTTGATGATAGAGCAATTTGTGAATGACTATTTCATTAAGAGG